AATGGTGTCCCCGATGATGCGATCCGCCTTCATCTCTTCCCCCATTCTCTGGCGGGGAATGCTAAGAGGTGGTTGGAGACCCAGCCCCCATTGTCCATCACCTCTTGGGACGATCTGGCTGACAAATTCGTGCACAGGTATTATCCGACATCGAAGACTACAGAGATTCAGCGGGAGATCACTCACTTCCGCCAGGAGCCAGAGGAGTCACTTCGTGATGCTTGGGAGCGGTACATGGGCTATTTCTGGCAGTGCCCCCATCATGGCTTCAGTGATGCATTCACAGTGGGGAACTTCTACAGTGCCCTTTCGCCAGATAGCCAGAGGGTGATTGAGTCTCTATGCCCAGGAGGGGATATTCTTACCAAGACTCCACCCGAGCTGAACCAGATGATCAGTACTTTGGCTGCCAGAGATCATTCTTGGGGACAAGGTAGCCGAGGCAGACAGTCCCGGGACCGTGGTGTGCACGCCATGGAGACCAGATCCGGGCTCGAGCAGCAGGTAGCTGAGCTAGTGCAGACATTGAAGCAGCCCAACAGTCTGATTCCGGGCAGAGGTTTGGCTACACCTCCAGTTGCTCAGTGTCAGTGGTGTGAGAGCTCCAATCACCTAGTGGAGGACTGCCAGGCTATGAGGGAGTCTACCACACCCCAGGAGCAGTTGGCCTTCATCGCCAATGCGAGGCGCCTCGATCCATACAGTAGCACATATAATGAGGGGTGGCGCCAGCATCCCAACTTTGCCTGGAGCAACAACACCACTAAACCACCTGGTTTCCCAGCACCAGCAGGTGGTTTTCAGCAGAGGCAGCCCTACCAGGCTCGACAGGGGCTAGTTCCACAGCAGCCATTCCAGCAGCCCCAGCGCCAGTTGCCGAGCCAGCAGCAGCTCCAGCCCTAGATGACCGGATGACGAAGCTGGAAAACATTCTAGCTTCATTCATGACGAGCACTCAGGCGACTATCACGAGGTTGGACCAGAGTGTAGCCTCACTGGAGGCAGGTCAGAGGAACCAGGGTGCCATTTTGCAGGATTTGCAGACCCAGGTGGGCATCTTGGCCCGCCAGAACATAACCAGGGCACCGGGGACTTTGCCTGCCACCACTGTCCCGAATCCTCGAGATCCTCATCAGCATCAGCAGCTGGATGCCATTTTTACCAGGAGCGGTAAGACCATATCTGCGGATCCTGTCCCGGCCAGACAGGAGGAACCACTGACTGCTTCAGCACTTCCAGCCGACGATGCAGAAGTGCGGGTGGAGAAGGAAGCCCCTGCTCCCAAGCCACAACCAGTGGTTAAGGAGCATGTACCCCAACTTTCCTTCCCCACTCGCCTACACAAGGACAAGCTGGAGACTGAGTTTGCCAAGTTCATGGCAATGTTGAAGCAGCTCAACATCAGCATACCGTTCATGGAGGCACTGTCGAAGATGCCCAAGTATGCCAAGTTCATGAAAGATATCTGCACCAACAAGAAGAAACTTGGGGATCTCTCGACAGTGATGCTCAGTGAGGAGTGTTCTGCTATCCTGCAGAACAAGCTGCCCGAGAAGCGCAAGGATCCAGGGAGTTTTACTATCCCTCTTACTATTGGCAGCATGCATGTAGGAAAGTCCTTGGCGGACCTAGGCGCTAGCATTAACGTCATGCCATATAAGTTGTATAAAATGCTAGACCTAGGTGAACTTAGCCGTACTAGGATGAGCATTCGATTAGCTAATCGTTCTATCGTGCATCCTAAGGGTATCATTGAGGATCTTCTTGTTAAAGTAGGTACATTCACATATCCTGTTGATTTTGTTATTCTTGATGTGCATGAGGATGTGGATGTGCCTTTGATTCTAGGTAGGCCATTTCTTGCCACCGCCAAGGCACTTATTGATGTGCATGATGGTAAACTGATCTTGCGTGCTGGGAATGAACAGGCTACTTTTTCTGTGACTGAGTTTGATCACTGTGCTATGATTGCTGTCACGCCTGTGCATGATATGTCTGATCAGGTACACGAGCCTGTCGTGTACCCTTCTGCACCTCCTATTTTGCAGGACCCTCCTATCATTCCTTCGCCGCCACTCCATCCAGCCTCGCCTCCGAACAAAAAGCTCAAGGAGGAGTGGCGGCCGAAGCAGCAGGTTGCTAAGCCTGCATGGAAGAAGAGTGGAGACCACTATGAGCTGGTCCCACCTCCTGCACCACGACCACCCTGGCCGTCTGGGTACTCGCTCGCCTGCATCTTGCCAGATGGCCAGGTCGAGCTGACTGATGATGGTGGTCGCATCCGTCGGGTGCATGGCCACAACCTTAAGCTGTACCTCAAGAGCGACGTGGATCCGCTCTTGGAGGCACCTGTTCCTGCACCGCCCTGAGTATCCACCATGGGCGTCCAGCTAATACGACGGTAAAGAAGCGCTTGTGGGGAGGCAACCCCACCACGGTTTGATTTTCTTTCTTGTGTTTTGAGTCGGATTGTAACCCGATTTGGGTTTGGTTTGTTTTCTTTTTGTTTGGATGATATTTTATTGGGCTGACCATTGAACCTAACATATTGTGTCTGAGCTCTTCTGTTTCCCTTCGGCTGTGCTTGCCCTGACTGGCCCGTTTCCAGTTTCCTGCAGTCCATGCATACCGGTAACATCGTTTCCCTTATCCTTCCCTCTTCTCCATTGAGGGCAATGTCGATCTTAAGTGTGGGGGGATGTTTATCTTTTGACTGCATTAGATCTGTTTGTGTGCTTGGAGCCTAGTCCACTGCATTAGATCTGTTTGTGTGCTTGGAGCCTAGTCCACTGTCCAAATTTTTAAATTTGAGGGCTCCACGTACGTGTTTCCATGCAATTGCCTGCTCAGTATGCTTTGAATTGACAGTCTTTATAGTAATATGCAACCTAGGGAGGTAGTGTAGCACTATGGAGGATGTTGATGCATTTAAGAAGTCTCATTTCTTCTTCATAATGAGTTGGTTGATTGAGTGAATTAGTGATCTTAGGACCCTTGAATTGTGTGGTGTTGTGGATTCTCTACCTGTCATGGACTCTTGTATCATGTTTTGAGTTTAACAGGTGCTCGAAAATGTGCTTCAAAATAACGTCTCCCGTGCGAATAGGGCGAAAGTGTGTAAGGGGAGACGGGAATCCGTTCCCAATTTCCACCTACTACCTCCAGCCTCCTTACATGTCTTTCCCCCGCACGAGGCTCGAGACATCCGCTCCTGGCATGGCCGGTAAGAGCAGGTTGGGACCCTTGAAAAGAAAAGAAAAGAAAAACAACAGAAAACAAGCAAAACAGAAAAAAAAAGGGGTTCCAACCATCTTTAGGCAGAAAATAGAGCACCTTGAAAAATGTGAGTCCATGATCTTTTGTTTTTGAGAATCTCTTCATCCACGATTCATTTGTCCTCTGTTCACTGTTTGCCATGATGCCGACTCGCCGAGGAAGCTATGAGATGACTTGTGCGTCGGTTGACCTCGTAAGTTGCTAAATGATCTAGGAAGTCCTCTACTTACGATCTGGGTTGTTTGTTGCTATAGAGGTCTGGAGAGTTGCATTGGTTTGAGTTAGGTTTGCTTGGGGACAAGCAAACGGTTAAGTGTGGGGGAATTTGATAACGATGTAAATGCACATGTTTGCGCCCCTAGTTCTTATTCGTTTGAGGGGCATAGTCGTGTGTTTTGGCCTATTTTACGCCGGGTTGTGCTATTTTGTCATGTTTCAGGTCCCAGGCGTCAAAGGGAAGGCTAACCGCGAGTTTCGGGGCATTCGGAAGTCATTTCGGTGAGCTGGAGCCAAAACACGGGCAGACCCAAGGTATTACACGGCCGTGTACTGCTGGCCGTGCTTTTTATGCCGAGAGCAAATTCAGTTTGGCCAATTCAGCTGCAAACACGGGCACTGAAGCACGGCCGTGTTCCACCAAAGCACGGCCGTGTCCAACGCGAAGCACGGCCGTGTTTAACCCACTTGCTGGCCGTGTAATTAAGCCCTGGCCGAGGCACGGGCGGAGTCAGGCAAAGCACGGCCGTGCCCTCGACCGTGCTTTGGCCACTGATGCTTTTAAGCAGAGTTTCAGCCACAATTCAAGGGGATTCGAGTTTTTGAGAGAGAGATCAATTCCTAGAGAGAGAAAGTGACGAGCAAGAGTCTCCAAGTGCCCTAGATTGATCTTCAACACCATTGGAGGCCAGCTTGAGCTTGGAGAAGTGCCGATCAACGTCCAGAAGCAGGAATCCATCCTTCACAGTATGAATTCCGTGTCTGATTCTGCTTTTGCTTTCTTCTCTATGGAGTAGTTCTCCCATTCATCTGGGTATGGAGAACCCTAGATTTGTATGTTAGGCTTTGATTGTATGAACCCAAGTACTGATTCTATGATTGATTATATTCGATTGAGGTTTTAATGATTGAATGACTTGAATCCTGATCAAATTCCTGTTGTTTCTGCTTTGACCTAGAATGAGAATATCTGCCTAGGTTAATAGAGTATCCTTGATTGAAGGTAGGGAGTTGGTGACTTTAGTCGAGGAGCCAACTCACTATTCTGTACCGGATTTACTCCGGTAGTGGAGGTTTTGTTCTTAGGGCCTCAATCTGTCGACTCCGGTGGAGGTTAGTCGCCCGCTAGAGAGTCAGATTGAGAGGGTCTAAAGACCTTTAGTCGAGACTTCAGGCTGTTTAAGAACCTTCCGCAGTATAACTGTCATAGAAACTGAACTTGGTAATTACAATCCGGCTTAACTGCAGTCTAGGGGGAACCATATCCGGGTGACCTCTTTAACCTGAATACAACCAGTTTACTTGCTTTGTTAGTTTGATAGTTTAGACTTGCATTCCAGTTTCATTGCTAGATAACACGAATTCACTGAGTAGTCATCATATCTAGGACCCGGGTTGATAATTAAACCTAAACCCGCTATACTACGCTTTAGGAAGTGGTTGCACTTGGCCAATTCCTAGGGTGACAGTAGAGTCGAGTCAAGCATATAACGGTACAAAGAGCGAGATCAGATGAACTCATCATTACGGCAGAGCGTCTGTTGGGTTACAACAATAGATGGATCCGTTTCAGAAGGCACATCGAACTCGGAGGATTCTACGATGCTGCGCAACGCAGAGCTGGATTCGGAATATTCAATCTCAATGTGCGGGTTCCTAAAATAACCCCACATGTCGAAGAAGAAGATCTGGCAGCCAAGAGCCTTGGTGATCAGCAGCATCTTTCAACGACGTCCGCTGGGCTGCCTGTCTCAGAGACATTGACCGCAAACCTGGAATCACCACCTGCGGCTGTCGCAACTCCTGTCCCCGACGAGAAGGCAGAACAACCGGCAATGGAGGAATTGATGGAGGCGGATTCGACGGCCACCAAGGACAAGTCAGCGCCACCAACCATCACTGCGATGAATGCGGAGAAGGCAGCTGCAACGGTGGCTCTTGTTCATGTGACATCACCATCATCGCTAGATAAACCTCCACCAGTCGAGATGAAGAAGGAAGAGAGGGCCGCGAGCACGGAAGAAATTTCAACAGCAGCTACCGCGAAGACCAAAGAATGGAACCTGCCAGATGAGAGGTGGAAGTTCCGGAAAAAGAAGCGATTGTCGGGAGATGGCTTTGGTTGCGAGGAGCTAAGAAATCTAGAGAATTCAAAGTTGTGGCAAACTGAGCGGGTCGCCGCCGAAGAAGTAATCAGAAGTAGAGCTCCACCACCATCGCCCCCAATGGAAGTAACCAAGGTTCAGTTGAGCTGTTCGGAGATGACAGGTTTCCGGGTCAATGTTGGCCGACGACTCGAAGAACATGAAGCAATGGGCCCATCCGGGGTGACGACCGCTGAGACGGGTGTGCGATCGCTAGTGACTCCGATTGCAGCGGGGATAACGTTGTTCTTAAAGTTCCGAGCTACAGGAGAGGCACCACCAGCATCGGCGGCTCCAATTGTGCTGGTGACGTCGGATCGGGAGAAAGAGGCGGAGCCGATTCGGAAGAAGCAGGGGTCAACTTCTCGTTGCCTGGGGCGGGGCTCGCCGACGAGAAAGGAGTCGGAGGGGGAGCTGGTGGGGTCCGTGGGTTCTAGTCGCCGGGGGAACAACTCACCGCCAAGGACAGAAGCTCCGACGAGGAAGGTGGAGACGATGGAGAGCCGCTCTTCGGCGGGAAATCGAGGAAGAAGAAGGGCGGCGGCGGCGGAAACTTCCTCCCATGTGAGCCCATGCATCTTCTTTCACCCTACGAAGCAGAGCAGAGCAGAGCGACGACGGAGGGCCAGGTAAGCTAGGCCGAAGGGTTTGGGCCGAATGGCCTGTTGACCTAAGGCGAGCAGGCCGAGTTACTTGGGCTGGAAGTCTGCTAGTGTCTAAGGAAGGGGGCCACGAGCGGGACCTAGGTCACGGGGGGCCAAAGAAAACAGAGAGCACTGGGGCACGTCTCGGGCCAGAAATGATGTTGAGACAAAACTGCGTGGGCCGGGAGGATCCACAGAGCGGGCTGTGGATTGAACAGATGCAGGCCAAGCAAATGTGTGGTAACAGGCCCGAGTTTGGAGTCAGGCAGGCCGATCAAGGGCTTGGGTACGACCCAAGTAATGGGAAGTCCAACAGAGGTTATTTGGGCAGGTGTGGGCCGCGAACAGATGGCCCTATTGGAGCCCTCTTGTGTGATGTGAACTCCATGGTTGGTGAGGATTATTTTCCTGGTGGGCTTCCAAGTGAGCAGAGCTCAAAAGCAAATGAAGAAGCAACAACGCAATTTAATGGGCTAAACTCAACAAAGAAGTTTGAGGGCCTTGATGATATGGTACTCAAGGATGTGTTCTTGAACAAGAACGAATCATTGAGTTCCTTTAGTTGCTGGATGACGATGTTAGCAAAAGAGGCGTTGTGGGAGTTTGAATTTGTTGAGGACGCGAGGATATGGCCATCCTTAAGGAAATTCCCAACTTTGGAGCAGTATCATGAGATAGAAGAAAGAAGGCTAAGTCGAGTAGTGGAGCATGATTGGAAGAAACGAAAGCGTTGCACGTACGACGCAGAAAAGTGGATCAAGTTGGTCAACCTTGAGGGCAAGGTTGGTCTCAAGGGGGAGGGGATGATAGAAACCTACTTTCCACGGGTTTCTATTATAATTACCATATTCATATTAGAGATAATTATTAGAATAAACCATTGCTTGGAGGTTAAGTTTAGGATTATTGTTAGGTTTTCTATCTTTTCCTATATAAGTGTATTTGGGAGTTTCCATATAAGCAATCAACAAAGTTAATACGAAATTATCCCAATCCTAGTTTATCTTTCTCCCTCAATCTCGTGTCTCTCTATCTCTCTCCAAAGCTTCGGCTGTTCTTTCTCAACCCCTAAAATTCTACTCTTCTTCCCCAAATTCTCTTCTAAATCCCTAAATCTCAAACAATTCCCAAATTCCCAACCCAATCGATAGAACCCTAGAAATAGGTTTCTATCATGATGGCTGTCAAATAATTTTTCTTCTTTTCACTTGGATAATCACAGGATTAATAGATTAAATACCTCCAAAATGACTGCCACTTTTCAAGTTATTCATCCATATGTTTTTGTAGGCTTCTAGAACATGTATATATAGGCTAATTATCAAGCATTCTTAAAAGAGCAAATGGGACTGATAAAAGATTAATGAAGGGCTGGTAGCAATCAGGAAACGAGTGAAGGAGAAGAGGCAGAGGAGAGGCAATTTGTTGGTGGTGCCGGCAGTAGCTAGTAGTCAAAATCAAGAGAGAAAGAACAAACCAAACCAATCCCATGACTCGCATGTTCCAGATCGGTTACGATGTCGTTTTCCTTTTCCTTTTCCTATCTATATATCTTTCAAAACCATCTAGAGAGAGAAGAAGAAAACAGAGCAACAGAAGAAGAAGAAGAAGAAAAAAACCCCATATTTCCGGTGTTTGGGAAATAGCTCCAAGGAAAGTGAAAGGGGATATTGGTTTTGATCGGACACATCATGGCTGACGCCAATCACTCTCCCTCTCTTCAACCTCCCCTTCTGGCTACTTCATCTTGCTCTCGTCGTCGTCTCGTCGGATAATTAAACAACTGATCAGGAAATAAGTTCAATCCTTACAAGTCATAATTGATTCATTGTCATAATATAATCAAACAACAAGATGACATCGACGCGCTCTCTATCTATTGGTCACATGACATTCATCTAGAGAGTTCAGTTTGATTCTTTGAAAGCAATCAACCAATTTGTGGTTTCGAGAGTGAAAAATTAATGGAACCATAGATGAAATCGATGTTTTAAGTACAAAAGAGATGAATGTTGTTTTAAAAGGAAAAAATTAATCGAATCTACCTTCATAATGCCGAACTAATCATTGAGTTGAGATTACATTGATCACTTCATGGCTTCCGACTAAATCCAAATGATCAGCCAATCGAACTCCCAATTTGTACACTCACTATCATCACGAATGACTCCGTTTGTCAAACATGTAGGTAAAACCTCTTAAAAACCATCATCATAATATTATACATGAATTTATCAGATACTCTCCTGAAATTCACAAAACCACGAACTTATTTGTCAAGATCCCATTTGCCAATCCATACCCTAGTTGACCTATTCCTTCATTCCTCCGTCTGGGCAGAACACCAACCACTTTTATCCACTTTCTTTAAACCAACCACCACTCCTTTCCTTTCCCGTTCTCCTTCTCCCGCTCCCCCGAGAATAAAAAATTGTCAATTTCGTCCAATTTTTTTTCTCCGTTTCCATTTCCCCCAAATTCCACACAGGCTGGCAAACCAAAAGCACCCCCCACCCACCACGCAGTTATTTCCACACTCGGATTAGGTACCAAAAATTAGTAATTTAATCAAACTAATCCCAATTTCCACACGATTATAAATATATATTCCTCGTAGTATTATTAGTAGGTCAGGTCTCCCAAAGGTCGCAAAAGCAAATCAAATTACCACTCAAAGTCGTATTATCTGTCCTAATAATTCTTATTTTAATCTTTATTTATTAATTCTCCCGAGATATAAATAGATATATTTGCCCGCAAAGGAAGAGAAAGTGCCCCACACTACCATCCCGTACACCGCTGCCACAGCATATTCCCTCTCTCGCCCCCGCCCACACTTTTTATTCAGTCCGCTGCTTCGTCTTCTTCCTTGCTTCCTCTGTTTGTCTTTCTCCCCACCTTCCGTTGAACAATTCAACAGAAAATCCGCCAACTATGTCCCCGATGCTCTGCTCGCAAGGCGTCGTCGTCGCCACCGCCATGGCCGTCTCCGGCACCGTCATCCTCCTCGCCCTCCGCCTCCAGAAATCCATCCCTGCCGCCGCTCAATTCTCCCTCATCCACCAACACCAACACCGCCAGCCACCGATCGCTCACCGCTCGCAGTCTCTGCGATCCTGCATCTCCTCCGGTACGCGAATTTCCAGTCCTCTCATGAAACGTCCTCCTTCTTTCTTTGATTCCCTCTCCCTTTCGTTTGAGCTGATTGGATTTTGCTTCTTTTTTTGAAAATTTTGGTTGAAGACGTGAAGAAGAGCGAGAAGAGCAAGAAGAAGAAGAGCAAGAAGGTCCGCTTCGCGGAGGACGTGGTGGAGCCGAGAGGGAACGGAGACGAGTTCAGAAAACACTGCGAAGCCATTGCCGCCGCCAAGATGAACGAACTAACCGCCTCCTCCGCAGCCTCAGCCGCCGCTTCGTCGTCCTCGTCGCAGAAGAGGTGCCGCGAGGGAGGCGACGGTTCTCCGCCGCGGTCGGCGAAGGAGAGGGGAATGCCGGAGAACAGGCGGGCGCTCTACTCCGGGATCCTGAGGGATCGAGGGGTTAATCGATTGACTTACTCGTACTGATTCCGCATCTCCGATTCCAGCTTCTACTGTACATAATTCAATCAATCCCTTTCTTTTTCTGCCCCCCCACAATTTCGAGGCGATTCCTCTGATTCTTTTCGGTACCGGAGGAAGTGCGTGTGTGTGGGGCCCACATCTCAACAGACGGCAACTTTGTGACTGTAATTTTTTTTCTTACCCCTTGGTAACTTTGTAGAGTAAGGGCTAAAAATGGTGATTGACTGTAACTTTTTTTTTTTACCGAGTTTGTTGTTCAAGGGCAGATGGGGTAAGTTACAAGCTTGGGAACAGATGGATACTCAGGTAGTTTCGCACTGTAAATTTTCTTCTTTGTTCATAAGTGAATTTTTTTTTTTTTTTTTTTTACCACGGAAGTTTATTATGACAGTCCAAGGGGCAAGGAGTCTTCTCTTGCTTATTCATTGTCCTTTCTTTGGGTTTTCTTTTATCCAATCTGTTTATCTTTTTTTCTTTCTTTCTTCTTTTCCATTGGAATTATTAATTGCCTAATTATCCCCTCTCGGGGCTTTATTGAGCTGTAAGTTATTTTCCTGCTGATTAATAAATTTCTGATGAACTGATTAATAATTGTATGACCAAAAACACACATGGTTCGTTTAAGCCATATCGAATCGATGATGAATCTAGATCCAAGAGGACGGGAAAAGGTGGATCATAATTTAGATTGATTGTCCATGCGACTTGGTTCTAATTTGATCCATTGTTTTGGTCATTTTATTTAATTAAGAAAATTGTGCTTTCAAAGTCGAATCAAAATATATCGATTTGATATCATATGGTACAATCAAGACCGAATAATTTGCTTATTCATTTACCGTTTGGATCGATTACAGTCAAGTGTAAGACTGTGTCTTACAAAGTACTGATGGTAATAATTTTTGTTTGTATTAGTAAAAAAAAACGCATGTTATATGTATTGTTGGAGCTATTGAAATTACATGTTACCGAATTTGCAAAGGAATCTAATTTAGAATCAATTAGTCATCAATTAAATCTTTTTGTGTGCAGTTTGAGTGTTTAGGTTGTTAAGCGGTAAGAAATTATTGAATTATAATTAAACTACGATTTCAACACAAATTATTCTATCACTAAATTTTTCGATACAAATTCTTGTACCTCAAGTCTCGAGAGCCATCCTCCCAAAAAAAATGCCAAATAAATAAACGATAAATAAAAATAAAAATGTAAAATGCAAACAATTTACAAGAGGAGAAGAGAAGAGACTAGAGATAGAGGATTCAAGTCGTGTTTTGGCCTTTGGGAAATTCGACTCTGCCATTTCTTTTTCTAGAAGGCCACAAAAGAAAGAAGGAAAGCAGGTTTGAACGTTACCTTGGTCAAGCAAGATGGGCTTTTGCTGTAGTTTGTCGGGTTGTAGTGGAGGCAACCACTCATTGTAAATTGGGGAGAACGGTTTCTCCAAACCCAGGTAAAGCCTATCTTTGCATGTTTTTGACACTGTCATAATAAATTCGGCTAATATCACTAGGAAACCCGAATTATTAACTTTGTGTCATTTGTGTCCTAAAGTATTTGATATGACATTTATGTCCTAAACTATTTCACCGTTAAAGTTGACCGGCGTTGACCGTTGGTTTTTAACAGAAAATACAGTAATCGCTGATGTGGCATATGAAGTGGAATTTATAATATTAATTTATAATTTTTTTCATATAAAAAAGAAAATTACAAAATTATAAAAATCCACTAGGAAACCCTTCCTCTTCTCCTTCTTCCTCCTCGACGGCGGTGGATTCCCACAGTTTGTCGCCGATTTGTCTTCTCCGTCGGCGGTCGACCTTAAGGGTGCGACCGACCATCTACGCAGTCATCTATTGAGCCGACGCTTCGTTGACTCCAAAATTCCTAAATCAATCGAGGCTTTCCCTGATTCGACGGACCCATCTTCAAGCATCACCTTCTAGAGAGCTGCCTTCTTAAGCGAAGCTTCCTCGTTGCTCTAGATTTCTCGATCGAGCGGAGGTTGACGATGGAGGGAAAGGAATTGGAAATCGTTGAATGAGGTGGGTTGAGACACGACATAAACTAATTTCCCCTTTCTTTCTCCACCTCCCACCACCCGTAGCCGTCGTCAGTATGTTCGCTGTCAAAGGGGTGGCGATTGTGAGAAATAGATAGATGCAGAGGTGGCGACTCTGATGTCATCTTTGCCCCCTCCCTATCGCTGATGTATTTCCCTTGTGAGAGCTCGAATCGGAGACTAGAACGGGTAGAGCTCTTGACTGAGTAAAAAGGACACCAAACCTAGGACCCTTTCTTCTCTTTTCCACTCGAAAACAGAACCCCAAATCGAGTTCTCTAGTTCATCCAAAATCCCTAGACGAAATAACCCATGTTTGAACAAGAAGAGCAGCAGGGGATTGGCAGCAGCAAATCGATCTCGTATCTTCCTTCTTCATTGTGGGAAGAGAAGGAAGAAGGTGAATCCGTCGAGGAGGAATGAGCGAATCGGCCAGAGGTTGGAGGTGGTTTACGCCGATGGTGACGCGTGGCGACGATTTCGTCGAATCCGATTGATGGTTGGCCATTGGGTTCCTTGAAATCGAAAGCAAGTGTGTTGGGGGAGTGGTGTTGGCTGGTGATGGTGTCAGCAGGGTGGGTGGGATGAAGTGTGTCCCTCACCTGCTACCGACTCATCCCTTCCCCGTTGGGGGTCGATTCGATCAAACGAACGAAACTGGAAATCAGAGATGAGATCAATCGATTTCTCTCCGCAGCTTCTCCCAAGCAATCCACGCGCAATAGCCGAGATGAGTCAACAGAAAGCGAAGCTAGGAGTCCACCTCGAGGAAGAAAGACGATGCCGTAGGTGGCGGCGACGACGTAGGAGGAGGCGGAAGCAACAGCGGCGATGGAGAGAAGGAAGGGAGAGGTAATTGGGGGAGGGGAGGTGAAGAGACGAAGGAAAATGTTCGAATCTGTAGAGGGAGGGTTAATTGAGTACATTTTTTTAATTTTTTCTTGGTTAACATTTTTTAATTTTTATAACAATATATTTTTTTATTATTTAATTTTTAATTAAAAATATGAGGTGTCATTGACGTGACATCTACGTGGCTGCCACGTCAACAAAAGTCAATGTTAATGTTGACTTCCGTTTGGTCAACCGTTATCTATAACGGTCAACGAAATCGTCAGGACATAAATGACACACAACTATCATACGTTGTGACATAAATGTCATATCGAATACTTTAGGACACAAATGACAGAAAGTTAATAGTTCGGGTTTCCCAGTGGTATTAGCCCTAATAAATTTAGGAACTTATCCTCAATGATTTACTTGGAGAGATGCCCGTTTTCAAGTTGTGTCTTCTACGAGATAATAGGAATCGCTATCGTTTGTTTGTTCTTTCGTTCAAATTCTTTGATGTTTTCTACTTGTACGATATTGAAGCGGATGCTGAACTCTGGTGATTGTTATCAAATCTCTCTAATCATAGCTCCTTTAATGGTTTACTCACTCTGGTGAGATCAATTAGGCTTGTTACAACGTAGCTTAATCGGATTACCGCCGTGATCTTCTCTATCCTCCGTTCTTCGACTAGTATTGTCATCCCCTCCATCCAACGATTAGGATTATTTGTCACCTTACTAGCACATGGTGCAATAGTATCCATCTTTCCAAACTTCCCGCTACCGTAATGGCCTTGTTGGTTCAATAAAAGGAATTGGAAGTCTAGTTAGGCATGCTTTACCACTTAAGCATGTAGGGCCTGTAAATATGCAGACATTGAACGACAAACAGGCACCGGCTGTTTGCCCTAAAGATGGAAGCTTCTAAGAAATTGGTATAAGTACTAGTAGAAGAAAATTCGGCAGGCAGTATATCTTTTTGTTGTTTGAGAGCAATGTTTTATAAACCGTATCCTAATATATTTGGTTGGGTCGGGAATATCCAAATACTAGATCCATTTCAGCAGATAGTTTTAGCGTTATGAAACGATTGAGCTACCGTTAAACTAGAATTTTAGTACTAAATGTTATATCAAAGACTTTTCCTATATAGTGTGGTATCCCATACGATTTCATAATCTTTCGTTGAATGTGAAAATATTGATTGATCTATATTATTCATTATAACTTAGTATTATTTTTAAGGGCTTATAGTATACAATTTTCTTCACCACGTGTAGAGGAGAGTGTGGCCATGTGGTAAGCTGGAAATGGGATCGATGCTTCCTTCCCTTGAATTGTCTCTTCAGCTAACTACCTGTTAGCATTTTCATGAAATGAATATTTAAGTTTGTGGCTTGGGTGGCTTCCTTCAATTATTATGTTTTATTGGTTATGAAGTTTATAAACTTGAATATCATAACAAAGGAGAGACTAGAACGTGGTTGACCTACCCAATATTTGGGGGGATCCAACCACTTGCCCATCTCCACCTGGAAGCTATCATCACTATATCCAAATGGAAGCTAGGGAAAAAAGAAAAAGATTTTGAGACTAATTTCATGGTACCATATTGGTATTATACTATATCGTTATATTCTTTATTATGCTTCTAGAAGTTAGCTAGGTGTTTTCCATTTTAGTGGTAGAGGTGTTATAGAACCTATTATTGTACTCCATATAAACCCTATGTGGTTTCAGTAATAAGATACAATAGTTTCCTTCGTATTATGATTTATCAACATGGGATCATAGCCTTCTGTAACCAAGAGATATTCTATTCGAATCATGAAGGACCCATTTGTTAAGCACATGGTATTAAGATATGTGCAAACTTCAAGCACATATAAGGTGGCTTTCCTTTGAGGGAGTGTGTTAGTAAGCGGTATTTGATCCATAACTGAACCACTCCCCAACTACTAGACTTATTGGGACCAACTGTTTCTTGACATATAAAAGATAAACTTTAGAACCTCTCCTCATAAGCGTTCTTAATGGAACAAAGAATTTCTTGACATGATATCAGAACATGTAATGACCAAAATGTCTTGTGTTCCAATTGTTGTGACGCGTAACTGGTTTGAGCACAAGGTTTGCAGAGCCTTTGCAAATTCTAAACTACAGATTAACTTACAATTAAAAGGACGTATAAGATCAATTTCATGACATCACCCAACAAGTCGAGTTATTATCGAGGTTATATAATTCACAAATGACATGTGTGGCCAGGGAGTAGGGATGGCAATGGGTCGGGTTAGGTCGGGTTTTGCCAAACCCAAACTCAAACCCATGGGTTTATCAGTGAAAAATACACAGGGTAAAACTCACTGGGTTTGAAAAACTTAAACCCAACCCAACTCGATGGGTATCCGCGGGTTCATGGGTACCCACGGTTTTTTGTCGTAAAAAATTTACAATAACAAGTTCCTATCAAAATTAAAGTCAAATAAAAATCTCTCAATACAAATTATCCATATATAAAACACCATTCTAGAAAATTCAAGCAAATCACAAATTAACTATACAAATTGTTCAACACCAATCTAGAAAACTCAAGAAAATTGAAGCAGATCACAAAGTATCCATAAATAATATGATTAATTGAAAACTTCTTCCTTTCAATTAAGTTACTTCACTCTCCACTCGATAACATCAACTTCATTCTACACAATTAGAAAGAAAAAATTAGGCATGTCTCCACAAACATAAATAAGATTGTAGTTTAGAATATTAAATATACCAAGAAAATTAATTATATGGGTGTAGGCGGGTACCCATGGGTCGGGTTTACCTAAACCCAAACTCAACCCAACCCGGTGAATAGTGAACGAGTTTAAACCAAAACCCGTCAACAGAATTTTACCCGCGTTGATCAGATTGGGTCGAGTGGGTACCCCGTGAATTCGGGTTTTGTTGCCATCCCTACCCACAAGTGATTATCAACAAAAGCAAATAAAGAAAGATGGGGGCATGCAGACAAGAATCCAGAAAATCAGAATGGGCAACTGGGAGATTTCTTGTTATATATAGATCACATAACTACTTCTGCAACTGCAACGCATTTCATAACGTGATGAAATTATATATGAGCCAACTACTACCCTCATCATCACACATTTTTTTATCCCATATAGATAGATATCCTCACCATTCACGAAACATCGTCTTCCTTTTATCTTCTGAATTTGTGGGCATCGATTGGCCATATCGCTAGCTACTTGTGTTTCTGTTTGATTGGATAAGGCGGTTGGGCGCATTTTGAAGTGGTTTGAATCATAACAGATTTGGCATGGCGACATATATATGTCTTGGGACAATATTATGTGTGATGGTTTGTCTATCCATCAACATCCACATCAATATCGTTTATAAAAGTTGCTTCTGCTTAGCAACGCGCAATAAGAAACACTACTCGATTATCTCTTATTTGTAAGTAAAACGTGAAATAATTGGCCCATTAAGATTATTACGAGTATAAAAGATAGCTACCTTCATCATGTCCACCCACGAGTAGAGCTGTCAAAATTGAACCCGACCCGACTAATCCGCCCAACCCACCCGACCCACAACCCGTCTGTAACCTGATTTGACAAAAAATCAACCATCCGAAGCCCGTCTGTAACCCGAAACCAATTGATCCATAATCCGATCAACCCATAACTCGATGAACTTGTTATCCGATCCAACCTATAACACGACCCATCTATAACCCGAATGATTCATAACCCAAATAACCCGTAACCGAACCCAACTCGAATAACCCGAATAACCCATTTGACTCGAATTCTTGTACAAAAATTCAATGGGTAGTTATCATAAATGGTCACAAACCTATTCACTTTGTACAAAATGGTCACAATTCTTTAAATTTGCACGTTTCGGTAAATAAAGTTTGAGCAAATAACGAAACGGTCAATCCGTCCAATTCCGTCCAAAATTACGTCCCAGATCGCCACGTCAGCATGCCACGTCAGCCCACTTAACCCGAGTCTTCAACCGGTTCAGAATAAAACCCTTACCCACACTCATGACTAGATACGCCCCCCTATAAGAACAAAACCCTTACCTTTCACCTCCATTATTCATCCTCTGTTTCCCCCTTCCCTCTTCCTTTGAACGAAAAAACCCCTAAAATCCCAAATCAACACAGGCCGAAATGGGTTCCCTGCCTACTTGTAAGTGTCAAGACAGAGTTGTTTTACTAACATCATGGACGGAAGATAATCCGGGTAGAAGGTTCCTCCGCTGCAAGAGAAATTATTTGGTAAGGATTTTGAATTTGATTCTGATTTCTTTGTTGACCATAAGAAGATTTGGTAACCATTCTCTTCTCTTTCATTTTATGAAGAAATTATCCCACCACTGTGATTTTTTTGAATGGGTCGATCCTCCCGTTGAAGCTAGGGCCAGAGCTGTCATAAATGGGCTGTTGAAGAAGATTAAGAACATGGAAATAAGATCAAGGGAAGAGAGCATGCTGAATGAGACAAGTTCTTTTTCATCGACGACACGCAACGATGAACAATCTAGAAGGGGCAAGCAAAGTGAAGATCTGTATGCACGAACAATTAATCTAGTTTATGTAGTCGTTTGTGTGATTGTAGGAATAGTTATTGGTAGATATGTGTAGTGTAGAACATGAAAATCCTCCTGTAATTCTGTTTCTGTTTTGTTCGAACTAAGTTTGTTTAGTAATTTTGTTTCTGGTTTGTTCGAACTAAGTTTGCAACGTTATTTGTTATGGTAATATAGCTTTTTTGTCGACAACAACATGGTCATAATACTAATTAATAATCGACAGAAAGGTCACAATAGTTTTGTCAGTGTAACAATATGGTCACAATCTTTTGGTCATTGTAACAGAATGGTCACAAAGGTATGGCATAGAGAGACTGCTGTAAGAGTGACTTCAGTCAGCGATAGAGACCTGTAATGGACGTTAATTTGAGCAAAGACCATCAAACCTGCATATTTAAACATCCATATTGTAGATTACATTCACCAAACTGATTAGATCCTACTTGACATGGGTTGGCTCGTCATGAAAGTTTCAACAAGCAATCGACATGTCACAAAAAAGATGTTCACAAAAAATGATCTAATCAGCTCCTAAAAGAAAGTTCAATGTCTGCTGGTTCTTCAACTACTCGTTATGCCTGCCACGACCCCTACCATTGTTACCACGACCCCTT